ATAAAGTCATGCGATTTTTCTGTGCTAGTATTTACTTAGTCCAACTTCACAAATAAGAGGCCCAGTACACAGCATTTTCAACACTACCAACATTGCGCTCTACCATTTTATATCATAAAAATGATACTGATCAAAAATAAAAATCATTAATGAAGATTAGGAAAAAAGGCACTGCATATTTAAACTCCATAAATATCATCAGTAGCTTGAGGATTCAAAGAAATCAAAAAGATATTTGTGAAATATTTAACAGATTAAAAAATAGCTTTTGTGTACACTATTTCTAGATTTTCCTTTCAATTTCTGATACTAGCATTTTCTGAGCAGTACCATTCATAGGTTAGTAGAAAAAAAATGCACAGTATTAGCAGAGAAATAACATGAACTATACATTAAACTTGAGAATGTCTTAACATTCAATTGTCTCTTGATATTGATAATCTTATGCCTTTGGTTCCCTGTATGGTGCAAATAGAAAATATGCTAGAAATAGCACATGACAATTTTCTTTTTTGTCTCTTCATTCACCATAACATACTTTTGTCAGTTTACTGCTACAAGGACATGCAAAATGTATTGCTGAATTATTTGTGAGTGCAAATCTTCTCAAACAATTATTAAAAAAATATAAGTTTATATCCAAGTAAGCTCCTTTGCTAGACCGAACAGCCCAGAGCACAAAATTAGAGACAGATTGGTTCACTAGTGACACAAAGGCAGCATTATGCAATAGTCGAGTTCAAAACATGTTTTGATAAGGAGAAAATATTTCTGTGCAGTTCAGATAAATAAACATTTTGTGTATGTGAAACTCTACTGGTCAAAATGGATTATCTATAAATCCTACACTTGAATTTGTGATCTAATGGAACATGATTTTTAAGCTCAAATGTAATTATTGTGATGATGTAAAGTATATGTAATAACTCTCTCTTTTCACAACAAAGTAGCATAAACACACCTCTTCAAAACGTCTACGTTTCTCTGAAGGTTCTGACCCATCACTTTCATTCTCTGAGTCCTCTTCTTCATCCTCATCATCTCTGAAGATATCATCATAAGCAGGAACATCGAGATCATCATCTTGTTTAACTAACAGCTTAATCTAGCAAGAAAAAAAATACTTAAATAAAGTACCTTATTTAGTGAATAAAACACATTTCAAATTACAAATCTGAATATTTCCAACAACAAAAGAAACTAAAAATTCATTTTGGCTGTGATCAGTTCCTGGCATAACAAAAATACTGCTTCTAAACACAAAGATCATAATTATTTGCACACAATAAGAGTAAATAGATTCCTTTGTTGCAGCGTGACTGAAAGAATTAGTATTTTTTATGCTTGTTAAAAGCGCAATTTATTTGACAACGTGCCTAATACTCTAATTCTAGGTATTGCTAAACTCGGAGATGTTCTGGAGGTTGTTTACCCTTCGATTTGTAGCAGTTTAATTTATAGCAACAGGATTAACAAGTGCTTACTACTGACAACTGTCACACTGCTAACGGTATATATTTTATTACTGAAAACATTTTTTTTCTGTTTATGTGTATTACTACTGCAATACCCATTAGTACTGCTTCCTGATCTACTAGCTAACATTGTAAGTAGTTTTGCAAAACACAGAAAAGCACTGCATCACCCACCACCACTGTGTGAATATTTTTATTATGCATCTTTAAGAAAAGCTCAGTTTACCTGCGTGTCATTGTAAACATTCACTACATTGATGGGTCTGTGGCTGTCACATACGAAAAAAAAAGTGTCTTCCTCAGGCTGCAAGATCTCCAGAAGGTCAACATTGGCACCACAATTAATAAGAACAAAATATTTGAACTGCAAATGAAAACAAACAAACAAAAGAGTGCTTTTTACTTCAATTAGAAGGAAACGTGGACGATCAAAAACCCCTTTACAAAATGTCCAAAGCCTTGATTTGAATTTATTCAAACCTAATTTGAATCTATCAAAACTATAGGAATTCAGTTTGAGCTGATGTAAAAAACTTGACAAGTTTGTCATTGGCATGTTAAAATTAACCACTGTTTGAGGTAACCGATAACAATAATAATTAGTTTAAGAGCTGACATTTTAAGGTGGGAAAAAGGCAGAAGTGAGTATCTATATAAGATGAGCTGCAACTTTAAAAAATTCTGGTATTTTTTTTACCTGATCTTTATGCTCGAGAAAGGCAGTTTCAAGTTCTTGCCACCCAGATACTGGGACAAGTGTATATTGCACATGATCACATTGAAACAAAGCCTGAAATGAGGCAAACGGCAGTTAGTGAAGGTGAGGGGTGAAAGGGAGGAAAACAATCTCTTCTACAATGCTATACTATGCTAGAATTATATTTCATACAAATCTTTATCTTGAAGAAATCCCAAATGCCAAATCTACGTGAACTTTGAGACTATGACTTAATAGTTTTCAGTATCATAACTCATGGAAATATAATTTACAAAAGCAGATTAAACCTCCATCCCTTCCCCAGTTCAACTCTATTAAAAGAATCCCAGGGCATTTTTTCTCTTGCTGTTAGCCTACAGTGACAATGAACAAAGACTTACTTGGAGTATTTTACAAGCACATAATGCGTCAACATCTGAAGCAACAAGAAGAAGAACACGCTGCAAATAACAGAATAGTATTAATATATTAACATAGGTGCCAAATCTGACGTGTTGGTACATGAAATGCAGAGATCATTGTGAGACCAAAAGGTAAGAAATTTAGTTTGAGATCATTACAAGCATAAACCAGGTTTGATTCTGAATGGACCCTACAACCAAAATTAATTGAGGTGAATCCTTGTAAATACGAACAATAAACAACTCCACATACCCAAAATATGCCAGCTGCATTGAGGAAACAATTATTCAGACTCCTATGAGCAGCACATAGTTTTGAAGGTTCAAAGCTAGGCAGCCCTACAACTATTTTTATGCCTAGAAAGGCCTAAGTTTTCAGCATGGGATCTGGAACAGCTCTGATTAAAGAAAATCTGTAGCAAAAATAGGAGCAAGGCAACTCCTGAAATAAATTGTTTTGCCTAAATCAAGGTTATCTGGTGTTTTTTCCGTTTGGTGGGGGTTTTTTTGTTTTTAGGTTTTGTCACAGTTGAAGAAGTTCAGGAAAATGCTTTCCTTTACACAAACCATAATATAGAGTCACAGGTGGAAATACTAGAAGACTGTCCAACAAAAGCTTTACCACTTCAGTGTACAGATCCACTCTGAAGAAAGTAAACATGAAAAAAGTTGCATAAAAAATGAAAGCAGCCAACTAGCCTTGCTATAAAAAAGGCTGCAAGAGAAACCTCAAGACAGAATACAAGATTTAGTGTCTGGGTAAAGAACATCAGAAAGGTTAAAAATACATGCAGAAAAAATAGATCTATAGATGTTTTGGTTAAACAAAGATCCACAAGAACACCGAAAGCACTCGCGGGAGACGTGAGCTGTAAGCAAAAGCCTCTGGCGAGACCTCGTCACACTGGCAGCAGCTCTGGGTCGGGTTTCCTGCTCTGTAGGCAGGCTCGGGAGGGATATTTTTACAGTCTGGGCTGACTGCCGGCCCCACCGCCCTCAGCGCGGTCCGGGCCGTTACAACC